GTATTCCCATTGCAATCACTTGTAAGGGAGAGTGGTTGGCTCAGTCTTGGTGATCATGTTTTTTGGGGAAACTTGTGTAAAGGTGTGTGTCTCTGTGTGTACAGAAATTTGCCTACAGCTTTTGTTCTTATTGGAGTCTTTGACTTCTGCATGCAGGTGAATTGTTCACGAGAGCTGTGAGGCGAAGCAGTAAATCTGCATAGCCTGGTAATGCCTAACTGAGATAGCGTCGACACACCAGAGAAGGCAAAGAACAGCAAGAAATCAGTCTGCAGAGCTCTCTTCCATCTCAAAGTTGTGTGAACCCGTGTCAAACAGGATGGGGGGACCGTAGAAGACACACTGAACCTGGCAATTTGCTAAGTAAGGCTCATATGCTAAAGGAATTCAGGTGGAATTTTTGTCCTGGAAGAGGCGTTTTGAAAGCTGGCTGGCTTGTTGAGGACAGCAACAGGAGCTCCTGACATAAATAGCTTTTCCCTGTCTGTTGGTGGCCCATGACTTGTAACTGCGCTGAGACCCTGCCACTCAACAGGTGCGTCTCCATTACACAAATAAGCGCAGTTGGTCCCTGCGTTAGCCATCCCTGCCACAGGGCCAAGGTTGAAAGTGGGGCTTAGCTACTGTGACCTGTTTGTTCCTCTGTATGACCCTTCCAGTCGGGCCTGGGGCAGGCTGGTGACAGCTTTTAGGCAGACAGCAGGTTTTGTCCACAGCAGAGATTCGGTCGCAGCAGATCTCTGCAGACTTGCATTTCCAGATGAGCTCTTCAGCCCTTACAATGTAGCAAAAAGTGAAGGAGTTTGGTGGGTTAGGATGCCCCATGCAGCTGGGAAAATATACATTATGATGTGTTGGTGTTATCTTCTGTAACATTGTATATGTTGTTGCAGGCACCATTGTTTTGGCACATGCTGAAATTGTAGATGGCCAGTAGAAATCTCCCTGGGATGCAGTAAAGCACAGAAGCTCTTGCTGTGGCAGAAATACCATTTCTGGTGGCAAAGGACTTCAGCTTGGGAGGGGACCATGGAAGGCAAAAACCGTTGGAGGTGAAGCTTTAGGAAGAGATGTGCTTAGCCTCTGGCTGAGTGATTCTTTCTTTCATTGCTTTCTTTTGGGGCCCAGGCCAGCAACTGCCATAGTGGCTGAGGTCACCTGGGTCAGTGGTGCTGTGGGGGAACAGTCCCAGTCTCTCAGTTCAGCAGCTGGAAAGTGGAGTCCAGAAGGAATATTATATTTCTTTTGGTAACTCTGCCAAGAAAGAGAGGAAATCCATAATTTGAGCAAAATAGTTTAACTTTTTTTGTAGGGTGGGGTGAGGTGGGAAGGGGGAAATGAAAAATCCTTTATAATGGGTTGCTTGCAATGGCTTTTATCCTGGAGCGCTCTCTCAGGCTGTAAGAAATGTTCAGCTTCTCTTTCTTCGTGTAACAAAGTCTTTGTAAAGGGAGTTTCCATCAGGAGTACATGCAATCAGAAACATGCATTAGTTCAGGTCATTTATTGCACCACATGGTTTGGGATCCTGATAGAGTGTTTTGTTTGATTAATTGGCTAATAACAAAGATAGCCTTGCATGTTCTGCATCATGTAACTTTATGAGCTGTTGATAATTGTGACACCCTAGCAGATGTGGTAAAATGATGGACTCTAATACGCTTTTAAGACCATTTTGCTTGAGTTTCATTGAATTTTCACATTCAGTGTTCATTGGTTTCTTCCTCCTATGTCTCCTGTCATCCTTCTAGGATGCTGGGCTGTACTTCAGTGGCTTTCTGATGCAGCGTTGCGTAGGTCCTGGTAAAAATGGAAGTCTTTCTTCAGTGAGTCAGTCTTCAGCAGTCTTGAAGGTCACTGTTGGGTGGCTTCTCTGAGAGCATGAATGCCAAGATCTTGATTTCACAGAGCACTTAAGCATGTACTGTGGCTTAGTATTTTGCTGGACTGCATACTAAGAAAGGTCAAGGTATTCATTGGTTGGTGGATAGTGGTTCCACCACAGCATTTCACATAGCATTTGTCTTCATAAGGTGGGTTAGTCTCCTGAATCTTTGGATGTTCAATCCAGTTACTGAAGTGGGAGATATTTAGTTAAGTCAGTCACTCAGTGTAGATGTGTGACATCTGAAGATTGTCTCAGGTTATCATGGAATGATTCTTAAAGATTTGCATGTACAGAAAGTGTGTTGATCATGATTGAAGCAAAATGGTCTTTGTAGGGGAGAAAAGGATCTTTTTTTATCTAGTGATTAAGTTTATACGGTGATGCGCTTTTTAACTTTCTAAGATTTGAAAACTGCTCTTGCATTGCAGTGAAACTCATCACCTTTTTTGATGTATTCTGGGAGTTGCTCTGGGGGGTGATGTTGAGGAAGCAAATCAAATTACATCTTAGCACTTGATTCCGTCAGTGGGCTTGATTTAACTTCCCTTCTGGTATAGGGGATCAAATGTCTCTCACCAACACTTGAAAATCATTGGCAGTTCAGTCTCTGCTGCCCTGGTATTGGCAAAGGGGAGGGATGTGTCAGTCCAACTTCTACATCCCCTTTCTCATGGCCTCCATGTGTTCTATCCCCTTTCTTGCCTCTATTTTGAATAAATAAAATGTGTGGGAAATAAAAGGTGGATGTTTCTAAGACGTGTTTAAATGAGCTGGATCCAGAATTGCTATATGGAGGACACAGACTGGAAGAATAATGTATATATTAGCAGTAAAACAAACAAAAAGGCAAAACAAATAAAACCCCCCAACTCGCCACTGGACCTCCCCCATATAGTCCTCACCCCTTCCAGACAGGAACTATTGATTTGTGTGAAAGAATGAGCAGTAACTACAATAGAGAACAGGTACGTGGGCCAAGCCAATGTGTGACTCTCTTCTGAAATTCCTCTTTCTGCAGCAGGAGGATCAAGGCCTGCCCCCCAACTGGAAAAGTGACCAGCAGTGTAAGATGGAGGCTGCTTTTTTTGACCTTGGTTTCACCTTTTTTGGAGCCTTGGAAATTACATCTACTCTTAGTAGGGTTTGTGCATTTAGCTCAGGATGTCTGGTTGGGCCAGTACACATTAGGAGGGGGTTGTGGCATGAGTGCGTTTTCCATCACTGTGCAAGCTGGTGACTTAAAATCTGTACGTGGGGAGAACTTAACTGAGGGTTGATTGTGGGGAGGAGAAGTGTTTTGAAGTAATGAATGGAACTGGATGTAGGCGGAGAGCCTGAACTCTGTCTGGGAGAGTAATAAGCAATGAGGAAGCTGCTGGACCTGATTCTTCAGTGCTGTGCATTCCTCATCTCAGACGCTATCTGGCCCCACAAGCTCCTGCAAGTGCTTTCTTTAAAAATGGAATTCCTTTTCTTGCAGCCTAGGCTAACTCTACAGTTTTGTGTTTGTTTTTTTTTTTGTTTGTGTGGCTCTGCTGATCATGAACATATAGTTGCAAAGGTTTCTAGGGGACAAAAAGCTTTTCTGTGTGTGTTTTTTGTTTTTGTTTAAAATGGGTCACATGCCCAGGAATGCAGTGGAATTATAATGGTGACTAAGTGCCGGAAAGCATAGAAAAGGGGAGGGAAGGGTAAGCAGCAAAAAAGGAGCCTGAGGCTATGGCAGGAAGGCTGGGAAAATGAGAATCTGGCCAGGCCCCAGGGCCAGGTTAGAGATTCCTACACCCATTAACAACTACAGGAGATGTTTATTTACAGGGAGCTAATCTTTGTTCTAAAAACGACAGAGCACCCAAAAATCCCACTTTGGGGAAGTGGACTGAGAGCATGATGGGGATGGGAGGAGGGAACTGGTTCTGATTGGGCACCAGTCCCTGTCTCTCAAAGATCTTCCCTTCATGCTATGCGTCTGGGGACACTGGCTGTTGAGAAATGCATGGAAGGGGGATAAACTCTTGTAATCTAGTAAGTGGTTCACAACCCCCAGTTACAAAGGATATCTGCAAGAGTTTCTTCCTATTTGTACTTTTCTGATCTTTTCTACCTAAGCAGCTCCACCGAGGATATTGAATAATAAAGTTTATGATATGAGAAAGATGGAAGCTAAAGCTGCCTTTTTCCTCCCGTCTTTAATCAACCCTGGATCATGAAAGCAAAACAGATGTTCAACAACTGCTTGAACTGCGTATGTTCATGTAGACTCTAAAGAGACCTTGGTCCCAGGTCTCTGGTACCTACCTTTTGTCACCTCTTGAGCTGTGTTGCTCTTGGCTTGTCTCAGCTCATCCCAGTAACTTTGATTTGTATCCCAGCAACTGCTTATGAACTACATCTCTCTTTTAGTAATTTTGTCTGACTAAGTAGAGAATTTTTCAGTGATGTGGTGGAATTCTCTATCCTCTGGTGAGCTGCTGCAAAGGATAGTCCATCTTGGAGCCTGCGTGCATTGGGTGGTTATACAGATGAGTGAATTTTATTTTTAGTTTGAATGTATCTTGATTTCTAATTATTGTAATCTGGTTATGTGATTGTCAGGCAGGTGAGCGTCTGGAGCAGTTTCTTTACTAGTTTTCTGGCTAGACACGCTCTTCTGGCTTCTAGTTTCAGTGTTCTCCTGGCTAGTGTTTCTTCCATCTGTTCTTGTATGGTGGTGTCTTATCTTTACTGGCTTTCTTTGGTCTTTATTAGAAGAGTGATGTCCTGTTGTTCTGGCAGTTTCTTTCCGTGTCCATTTTGTTTTGATTACATTTTGTCTGAACCTGTGTTGCATGAGGTATACTTCATCAGGTCTTGATCGGATTTAAAGCTTGTACACTAGTGATCATCACGGATGGCTTTCTTTGCTGATAAGCACCCACTCTGCTCAGTGTTCCTTTCTTGTCAAGTCTTATGAGTGTGCTTGCTCTAGTGTGGCTCAGGCACCATCAGTGTCTGTCAGTTCATCATTTGTGGAACCAGAGTAAGAGCATACCTGTGATCAGCTTGATTGTGTTTATTGTCCATATAGCATCAATCCTGGTTGCTAATCTCATCTCTCTTCCTCTGTCTGCAGAGCGGCTGGCATTCCAGTGAAGGAAAGGGTGAAAGTGTCTCAGAACTGGAGGCACGGACGCTGCCGGAGGGAGACGGTGCTGAAATGGAAATGCAAGCAAGTGGCTCCTTTCTCTGCTGCTTTGTATTGTGTCTGCTGCTGTGGGGCCTTGGGTTTGCGTCCGTGCTCCTAAATGAAGTGTTTCCTGCTCCTTGTGATCCACGGGGTCTTACAAGTGATGTCGCTGGCCTGTTTTGGATGTTGCTGGCTAGCTGCATGTGGGGTAACTGGAGTTGCTGTATTGTCCTAGGGATTCATTCTGAGAGTCAAGAGTTTCTTTCTTCGTAAGAGCTTGAATTTGTCATTGTTCTGATCTGTGCAGTCCTAGTCAGATTTAGCAATCTTTACTACAGACTTCAAACTTACTATTGCTGTATACCAGGAGCAACTTCCTGTCCTGCTCTCACAATGAGCATACCTTGATCCCAGATGTGGACTTACGTGTTCCCTCAAAATGCCTGGTTTGTCTCCCTTGCTTTATCCTGGCTCCTGATTTGGATGTACAAATCTAGAGTGCTAATTGCCATTCTTCTACCTTTTGCTTCTTCATTCTCCTAACTTACGCTTCTCTCCTGCACTAACAAAAATGTGTATTTGACATCATGAGAGGAGATTGTTGTTAAATTCTTGATTGCAAACGTGTACTCAGCTTTCAAAGCAAAGCGTAAGATACGTCTCTTGTCTGAACAGCACATCTAAATTTCCAGCCTTCACATCGTCAGACAGAACGAAAAATGAGAAAGACTGTGGTTTGTTAACTGCTGAAGAACAGGGGCCTGCTACTGAGCTTTCATGCCTTTTTGTGCTGTGTAGATTGAAGTGGTGGATAATGTGCCACTGCTTGTCTAAAGTCCTGGGAACAGCTGTAATGAGCAGAGTGGTTTTTGGTGCGGGTTGTATACCTGCCTTTGAAGTGTTTGCAACCATCTGTGAAGTCAGGCTCTGTGGATGTTAGAGATCATTACTAAACCAGCTTGCCAAGTGAAAAGGCAAGGAGTGATTTAATGAGGCCACCATCCAAACTGCATCCTCTAATTTTCATTTATCTTGCTTCAAATTTGTCACTTCTCCTTATGAAAAAGCCATAGAAAAAGGTAAAAAGCTAAACTGCAGCAGGAGGAGAGCCACAGAAACTGGCTGTAGTCTAGGTAAGCTGGATATTCACTTGCTTTTAGAGGACTGCGTAGGAGTGGAGGAAGGAAGGGGAAATCAAAGTCCACCTAAAACTGAAGCTGCTGCTCCAAAGATGCCTCTTGTTTTTTCCATGCATATGATCAAGTCCCAAATGAATGTTATAACCTATGCTCAACTGCTTTGTCCGTGTGACTAAAAGCGTGTTACTGGAGATGAATGCAGGCAAGCAGGAGCCTTCTATCTAATAACCAATCTTGTCTTCTTGCTTATTTCTAGTTCCTCATAATGATGTTATGAGATGTGGCTGTGTGTAATGGCTCTGCTAACACAGGAAAATCATGACCTCTGAGGATGAATGATCTGCAAAAAAGAGGGAGACAGGTTTTTATGAGAAGCCCCTCTGCTTTCAAAACAGTTGTTCCTGAATAGTTTGATAACTGAAAGGCTGCTCTACTGAAAGGCTGTGGTTTTGCTCAATGTTTGCGTGGATATTGGTGCACTCGGCAATGACTGCAGAGTGGAGACAATTTCACACATCCATGCCCCATAGGACGAGCCCCATGTCTCATTGTATCTGGCCTTGCCTTATCCAGAAGGCCTATTTGCTGATTCTCTCTGGTGGCTACGCAAAAGCAAGATCTTGAGCAAAGAGCTCACTGCCTAAGTGTGCATTGTAGCCTGTTGTCTTTTCTGTCTTTTGGTTTTGTTTCAAGAATAAATAAACTTGTGATGACAGACTTGATTCAGACATTGTTAGAGTGTCTCCTCCTCTTCTTGGTCTCCCAGGAAGTAAAGCATGTTTTCCACTAGTAACTTCAGTCTTCAAAATACAGATCCTTTAACTGTCCGCTGCTCTTGGCCTGGAACCTCTCCTGCCACTGTCCCATAGATAGCAAGGGCCGGAAAGGGTGTGTGGACTGTTCTGAAAGACAGGCAACACAAATCAACAGGTTGCTCTGCAGTTGTTTTTGGCTCAGCAGTAGAAGAGGTGTGAATGTAGAAAAATACCTCCTGTACACAATAAGCACAAAGTTCTTGGATAACTTCAGGCTCACCCTGCTGCTTTACATATCAGCATACAGAGAATGCAGGAGGTGGAGGACTTCCTGTCTGTAGGAAGACCTCTGTTATTTGATGTGGCCTGCTCTCCTGCTCAGATGCATGTGAAACGGTGGCAGCTTTGTGGTCTCTGGGCATCAGCAAATAATATGCAGGATTAAGACCAACTGTTTGCACGAAGAGCCTCATGTCGAAGGCTCTGTTGGAAGTGCTAGGCAGAGCTCGCAGATGTCTGGTAGTCTAATTCCTTAAAAAGTACAGGGCTCATGAAGACGGGTCAGGGAGCCCGAAGTATTTCCTGTCTAAACTCACTAGACTCCTGGCTGTCTTCTCTTTCAGAGATTCCTTGCTTCCTTTTCCTCAGCTTTTTGTTAGAAAAATGCCAGCAATGTGATCTGCTTTGTATGTTGCTGGAGAAGCTTCGCTTCTTAGCTGTGCTACTATATTAAGCCTTGCTTTTGCATGTGACCGGCAGCTCCAACTTCACGGTTTTCTTGAGTGGGCATTTGCTGTTGTTGATAAGTTTACATATACAATCTTTTTTTTTCTTTTTGGGTGTGAGTTTGGCTTGTTTTATTTTCTTCTCCCTACCCCTGCACCCCACGAACCTGCTGTCCCTTTGCAGTTTGATGCCCTGGATGGAGCTGGATGGCGAGTACCTCTACCTGTCTCAAGCGGAGAACATCCAGGCCTACCGGCTCTGTCCAGATGGTACAGGTTTGCAGCGTCACCCTCAGGCTATCTTCTCTGGCCACCAGGAGGATGTATGTCGCTTTGTTCTTGTCAACTCCCACATCGTCAGTGGAGGGGGGTAAGTTGGGATAATAGAGGAGCCCAAGGAGGGTGCAGTGAAGTTGGGAAGGTTTTGTGTAACTCCAGCTCAGAGCAGAGAGATCAGTCTTGCTACACAGAGTTCTCATGCTTGGCTGTGTTCAGCTGCTGCTGCACCCTCTCTTATCATTTGGTTCTGTCCTGCAAAAGCTTCTACTACAGCAGCGGAGGAGCTGACTCTCATGCTGTTGACCTTATAAAGTGTACTTTTCTTTTTTGAACCTGTATAGATGCCTACAGGATTGTTGAATCAGGACTGACTGATCACGTAATCCTGACTGATCTCCAATTTTCGTTTCTTTCC